TCCTCCCTTGCCCGCACTCGGGCTGTCGCTCTCTCGCTCTCCGGCGCAGGGGAAGAACCATGGCGAGGGGCGGCCGGCTGGGACGCTTCGCCTTGGGCTGCCTGTGTTGCCTCGTCTTGGCCACCGGTGGCCCCGGAGGAAGAGGAGGTGAGTGCGGGGCTGCAAAGGGGGGGGCGCACACACGCACCCCGAAAACAACCACCCCCCTCCCCACAAAACCCAGCCGTGCAGATTATTCCGAGGGTCCGGTTGGAAGGTTTGCAACGCCCCTTGAGAGGAGGGGAAAGGGAAAAAAAACACAACATTTCCACCCCTGCCATCAAGGTGCGTCGCCTCGGTTGGCTCCTTTTTTTAAAAAGTGGACGCTCCTCTTTTCGGCCTTTTGTTCCCCCTTCGGCCGGGCTCCCCATCCATCTGCCGGGATTTGGCGCCTCGGGAGCCCCTCATGGGGAGAGGCTGGGCGTTGGAAGCGTTTTGGGGAAAAGGGGGGGGTCCCTTTGTTTTCGGTTTGCATTGCGCCCTGAGCCGGGAGGAGAAGATGCTTGCGGGTCTCTGTGTGTGTGTGTGTGTGCGTGTGTGCGTGATGAGCATGGGATTCGTTTACTGTATTTGCAAAGGACTCAAAGAAAGAAAGAAAGAAAGAAAGAAAGAAAGAAAGAAAGAAAGAAAGAAAGAAAGGTGATGGGTGGGTTCCGCGCTTTCTCCGCGGCGCAATGTGCAGGGTGTGCATTCTGCAAAAAACACACCCACCCACCTCCCTCTTCTTTCTCTTTTCTCCTTCTGAGTAGGAGCGCTTTGCAACTGGTGGAAAAAAAGGGGGGGTAAAGGAGGCGGGTGGGCTGGCTTGGCTCGGCTGGGCGCGCCAGGGAGCGAACCCGCCCGCAGGTCGGGGGGGGGGCGCTGGGGAGGGGTGTGTGTGCGTGCCTGGGGCGTCTCCGATTTCTGTTAACAATTTTTAAAAAAAGAATAACAAGCCAGGCAGACCTCCCACTCTAGTCGGCAAAGGAGAAGCCCCTCTCGCCTTTGCCTGAGCTGTCGGATTTTGGGCAGCAAACCGGGGAAAGGACCCCCTCTTTGGGGTGGGGGGGAGGATGAGGATGAAGGCGGCTCTGGGGTTAGGAAGCAACCTGCCTTAGGGATGGTTTCAGGAAGGGAGGGTGGCTTCCCTGCCCCTCTTTGGCCCCCCCCTTACCCCAATTCTTGGGCTTTTGTTTCAGATTCCCAGCCATACTGGGTGGGTTCTAGGCCAGGGTCTTGTAATACGAGATGAAAGCACATTGAAAGGCACATTTTTATATAGGCGGGGCCTTTTCAAGGAGAAAGGCAGGCTAAAATATATATTTTATATATATACAGTATTTGGAACCCTGCAGAATTGAGGCTGCACCCTGTACAGCCCCTTGCCTTAAAAGACTCCCTGCGGGTGATGGAACATTGAGATAATCAGCCGGTGCCATCATCCCCTTTAGGACTCCACCAAGTGGGTGCTGCAGTGAAGTCTTCCTTTCTCCGGTGACCAGCATCCTTTGACAAGCTCTCTTGTTCTGGAATCAACCTTCCCTTCCACCCCTCCACCCCAGCGTTGGCAGACTTAATACCCCCGCCCTCGTGCTTTCTTTCCAGTGGATTATTTATTGCATGGTTTGGTTGCAGCAAGCGGAGCCCTTGAGACCTGTCCCCCTCCTTTACTCTGGGGTGGGGTGGAAAACAAGATCTGGGTGAAGAAGGGATTTGGGGGAGGGGGCCTGAGCACAGTCTCCTGCAGGCTTTGTTCTAACGTACCTGGGGGGGGGGGTTACAGCAAGCAGGGAATGAGCAACCACCCCTTAGGAAGGGGGTGACAACCCCCCCCTCTGGCTTTCTTCTGCTAGTTTGGAGGAAAGCCCCAGCCTGAGTTTGGATTGGGGTGCAGGGCTAAGTTTGGTAGGTTTTTGTGGACTGCTCCAAAAAACCCTCTTGGAGGGGGCGACAGGTGGATCTGACCTGCCCTCCACCCACTGCCCCTCCTTGCCCATAGAAATGGGGCCACTGGGGGATTCCGAGCACACAGCACCGTCTGCGTGTGTGTCTGGGAACAGCATGCGCTGTCTGCCATGGATCAAGGAAAAGGGGCCGTTGTTCCTTCTGATCTGGATGATCCTGGCCACGTTTTCAGTTTAAAACAATGACACCCCCGTAGCAAACATCAAGCATGATCCTCTATTAATGCAACTCTCTTTCACCTTCCTGGGAGGATGGTCAGTTTGGGTTCCCTTTTTCCATCCCCACTCCAGTTGGTCTTCATCTTCCTTCCAAGCAATTTTTTTGCAAAAAAATTTCCATTTGCATATTTTGGGGACATTTCTATTGGCCCTAAGAAAGGCACTGCCAAAATGGGCTTTCGAGGGGGTGTGGCTGATGGACACACACATACAAACACAAACACACACAAGCGCAGTGCCCTGAACCCTGATTGTTCTGCTTCTATTTAAGTATTACCAGCGCAGGAGAGCCTGCACGAACCAGGCTTCTCTAAATGTCAAATAATTCTTCTCTAGTCTTGGCTGTGCTTTTCATTTGCTTACAGAAGTGTCTGTATTAAAGGTTTTGCTCTTGTTTTTAGTAAAAGAGGCAACAGAGTTCCTTAAGATGAAAGGCTGCACTATTATTGCTTATTAAAATGTTTATCCTCTGTCTTGGGTGGCCAAACACGTTGCTAAACCCAAGATCAAGTGTATATTGTTTGAAAAACAAAAGCAGAACATTGAAAAGCAAGGGCGGGAGAAAAAGTATCAGAGAAGAGGATCATCATCTAGTCACCTTTTACCTCCCCCATTCCCGGAATGGAAGCTCTGGATGGCGTCTGAAGCTCTACGGAGTTAAAGCGCCCTTGGGTTTTTCTGTTTGAAAGCCAGCCCCAAAATGGGCTCTCCTGTCCTTGGAGAATTCTAGAGTTTTGTTGCCTCTGGGAAAAAAAGTCCTTGTGAGAGGTTAGCCAACCTGCTCCCTCTTCGGCTGGGGGGCGGGGGCGGGGTGGGGTGGAGCTGGGAGTCTGCAGAGTTCATAAACTTTAAATCCTAACGTGTGCGACAGTCTGGGAAGAGAGGTACCGGTACTTCCCGTGCTTCTGGCAGGGCTCCGAGCCAGGAATTTTATTCTTTTAGATTACAGCACCAATTGGCAGAGGACTGTTCTGCACCGTATACTGTGACGGGTTCGTGAGTCACGTTGATAATTGCTTCATGAGTGCTAGGAACTTGTGGCTGAAGCCGGAAGGCTCTCTGTGGAGACAGGCTCCAAGCACACGTGCTTTGCATCAATTGCTAACCCCTGGTTAAGAAAGGGCATGCTGATAGCAGCGAGTCTTTCCACTGCAATCCTTGGAGAGTTACTGCCTTGTCAAGGTAAACCGCACTTGGCTAGGTGGATCAATGGCCGGTCTGCATCAGGTGGCTTCTACAAGTGTGTGCCGAGGATCCGTGCTGTGGAAATTTCCAGGCTTAAAAGTGTGTTTTAAAATAGCATTGAAACAAGTATTCCATATTTACAGGCCTCTTGCGGGCAGACTGTGTTGTTGGGCGGCTTTGGTCATAGGAGAATTCAGGGAGGATTTGAACCTGTGTCCACCCTACAGCTTGGGAAAATTGCTCACTTGGACTTTCGTTGGTAGTGTCTTAAAGGGAAACAAAAAAAAATATTTGTGGATTTCAGACCCCTGTGTCCGGTGCCACCTGCCATGCTAGCAGTGGGATTCTGGAAACGTTAGTCCAGAAGGACATCTACAGCTTGTCCAAAATGTGTTTTGCGGTGTCACATCCGCTGTGTAACAGAGGTTTTGACCTACTCCCTATTGTTGCTCCACCTGCACTTGTTTCTTTGATCACAGAGATTGGAATGCATGGGGTTCAGTGGTGCTGTGCATGCCGAAAACTCTGTGTGTCACTGGCAGAACAAACCCAAATTCTTGTCAGCCTTTGAAAAGTCACAGATTTGTCTTGACTTTCCATGGATGACAGAAAAGTTCTTTAGACCCCTTAGTGTCCAATATTGAAACCATAGGTTTCTATCCAGAGTGCACATGGTTGTATGGAAGAGAGCAGACTGAAATGGGATAGAGCAGATGGAATTTACATGGCTAACGCTGGTAGGTAATGAACTTCCAACGGGCTTTACACATCAAGGCAGACAACAAGCAGAGCAATTAGCTAGCTAATGTAAAAGGCTGTAGCAGCCAATACATATTGCCTATAGATTTTTGTCTTTGTCGTATCAAAGCAATACGTTCTGCTAAGGCCAGCGTTTTGCTAAAGAAACCAAGTTTTTGGCTGTACATGAAAACTAGTATATAAATAAATAGTGTGCAAAGAAGCCACAGTCTCTGTTTAAGCTCCAAGCTACACTCTGAAATTTACAGACGTTTCTCTAGCTAGCCGCCTCTCTTTGAAATCTCTTTGAAATCCCTTTTATCTACCATGGCTTTTTTGACAACAGCCCCGGAGGTTGAGTCATTTTCTTTGTTTTTAAGGCAACTGCTCCTTTGATAATGGCTCAGTTTATGGTATATGTGGTATATCCCTCTTTCTGCTAAGGATTCTGTAGCTACCGTTCAGTGTCGAGAACAGAGGACTCTCCTAAGTGGGCTGGCTGAGGATCAAGAAAGGTTTCATGCTAACAAGTGCAGCATTTTCTCCTGTGGGTGTAAAAGCACTTGTGCATTGCCTTCTGGACAAGGTTCAGTCTAAATTCTGTATTTTGAAATTCCTCCCCTGCCCCGCCTTCAAATAAAAAAAAAACCCAAATAAACAAGCACATTATGAATGTGATACACCTTCCAAGAAGAGAGAGAACAGCCTCTGCAGTTGAGAAAAATATGCAGCGGAGATGTCCCTTGTGACAAATGAGCTCTTCTCTCATCCCAGAAGCTGAACCATAACATACCTGCAAAGAATTTTTTTCCTGGACTCCTGCCTGCATTTCCACTCCCTGTTCCTCTGTCCTCACCGAAAGGGCCTGCTTCTCACCCCGGCCAAGCTTCTGTGCATCTTCGCTGGGGTGAAGGCCTTTGGGTTGCAGGATGATGGTCTCCAGGATATGATTGCAAGGCCAGGCCCATTTTTAACATCACCTCTTCTTCAGTGCTCGAGGGCCAATGGGCACCTGGGGCTTTT